TTGTTCAAAATCTGGTCAAGGATGGCCGATTGACAGCCATCTGACTTTTTGGCCTTACTACTATATTTCCACAATTTATGTACCATTTTCATTCGTATTTGGCACATACATCATACATATCAGTGTGTTTCATAATCAGATCAAAGATGGCTGAATAACAGCTGTTCTTATTTTGGCCATATTACTATGACACGAAACACGTGTTTTGATGTAAATAAACAATCTGTTGTATACGCCACTTGGAACTCAAGTTTCAAGGACACGCTCGCGACAACCCCTCCGCTTTAATATGACGAGCACAAAGAGAACTTAACGGGGACTGTGTCATTTTCAATGACTTGTTTTGAGTATTTTGTGGTAACATTAGTTTTAGCAAGTCCTGTAAATTCAAAAAAGGAGGGATCTAATGGATCATATAGGAAACAACTTATTCTCTTAAGTTAATGAAAACTGCTTCACATAGAGTATTGATTTTGTATGATGACCTAAATTCAATCATTAAACATTCTGTGTGACATTTGAAGACATGATGGACAATTTTTTCAATACAGTAGCTGCATTTATTACACATATTAACATGTCAAATGTTTCAAAGAAAATTTTGCTGACGTTACAACCGGAAAAGTCTGGCAAAAAACATAATACTCTGAGATGAAAAACCTTCATAAATGTAGAAAAATGCAATTTATAGTTTACTTTTTCATTCCCTGGGTATTCATTCAACTATTCATAAGTGTTATGTTGTCCACCATCTTGATTCTCAAGCAAAGCATTGTGGGTAATTTATGAAACCATAGCTACTATTTTAAAAAATGATTTCATCTATGAATTAAATTTCATCTGTAAATTGCATTCTCCTACATTTGAAGAGTTCTTTTATCTGGAAGCATTGTGTTGTTTGCGTGGATTTGCCCTTTACGAATGTATGGAGTAAAATTAGTATGTACATGTATGGGTGTGAATACTGTGTGTAATTTTACAGGTGACCATTGTGGCTGATGACTCGTCAATGGCTGCAAGTCTACCAGTTGAAGGGAGGGAAAAACAGGACATGGAGGATGGTAAGGATCTTTATAAATGCTTCCTTAAAGGGGAACCGCTCAATTCCTTGGATTGCACCAAGTGCTCATGGGAAATTAACTCTGCCTCTGTCCACTGAGTAAATGAATGCTTATCTTTCCCCCTGTACCGCTAATCCCACAAAACAACAACTGATATAAACATCCTAAGAACAGATTACAATTTGGTTGTTTAACATAGCAATTGAATTTCAAACAAATACAGAGCAGTCTTCATGTGCCATGATTTGAAACATCACGTGCTTGGTAATTTATACATCGTCGGAAAAATATGACGCGGAACTAATTCAAGTTGATGATGACCAACAAGAAAAGGCGGCAGTCCACCGGATACACACGACCAGATTGTTGCTAAACGGTCGCAAAGAAAATCCGCCGACAAGTTTATTTGTCTGTTTCCGTTGCGTTGGTCTATTGACGGTACTGATCTCGTATACAGTAAACCTGAGAACAAAACTTCCTGTGCATATTCTGTATACATACTGCTCCTCCAGACTGCTAATATAACAAGTCTGAAAACTGTATATTATAAGTACAGGTTATCAAAATCATTAGTGAAGAAAAGTCGCTGCGACATCACAGGCTTATTTTGTAACCTGTTACGACACTTGTGTGGAAAATCAAAATGTACACGAGTGATACCGGCTTGTATCTCGTGTGAGATTTGAGTTCTTGTGATCTGGTGGGTGAACGTCGGGTTGACTTTACAGTCAAAATCAAATGAGCGGTGAGGGGGAGAAGAGCGTTCTGTCAAAACAATTTTACCGTAGACTCAATTTTAACGACCATTCTGCAGCGTTGTATTTATTATAAATAAAAATCCAAAAATAGAATATAAATACACACATACACTCGTATATACATACACATACAAATGTATATGCTACGCATGAACGAAAACGATCTATTGTAAAAGATATGAATTGGAACTGCCTGTGACGTGTTGTCAAATACAGAAACAAAAACTGATTTATTTTCTTATGCCAAGACCTGGTTGTTCATGCTTTTCAAGCATGGCGTATTTACTTCTTGTACTATGTGGTGTGTGCTGTGGAAACATCTGATTTTGTGGCTTTGAGCTGTTGAAGTATTTCGCGAAAAATAAAACAAAGGGTAACACCATACGAAGCAGTCAGGCCAATGTCTTGTTGATATCCGAAACTTGGAACCTCTAACCATGCTCTAACAGAACGGTTATTTCCTGCACACCTACCAGTATTACTCAACTACCATTTGCAGCTCATTGCAGTCTGACACTTATTCACTGTACCCCTTCCTTTTTCCAGACTGTCCAAAAAGTTATACAAAAAGTTTCATCCCTTAGAAAACACAAGTCTTTGCCGTACGATCAAAAGAAAAATGTCCACATAGTAGTAACCAACATCGTTCTGGAATTCCTAAAAAAAGTTTTTAAAAAACAAACACTGCATTGCTTAGTAGCAAATAATCACGGTAGCGCAATCCGACCATGCTACATTTCAAAATTATTATTATAACTCGATAGTGATTTTTAATAAAGTACAAAAAGTAATACTCGGTGATGCCAACGTGTTCAAATTACCATAACGGAGGAGATTTGCCATTTGAAGACTAATTTAACATTTTTACGGTGATAACAGCTAATTGTCGAAGCGAAGCTTTACCCATTCACGCTAACCACAATAAACATCGTAGTCTTGAATAGGCGTCAATGACTACGGTAAAATTCGTAAGATTGTGGGTCCAAATTAAAACCACGAAGGATTTCTACTTCTACATTTAATTTATTGCACCTAACGTTATTGACATTGTTTACTGTCTTACATCGTCATGTCCCAGTGTTACCGATGGTTAGACATAGACAAACTACGTAATGATAATGCTGTTTGTAAACCAACAAGCTTTGTAGATTGAACAAACATTTAGGGGATTTACATTTCAGTTTACTCAAACTGTGATTGACAGAAATTTTGCATACATTAGCCACCATTTTAAACTCGTGATTTTCATTGATCGCGACACGTTTCGACTGAAAATAACAACATTTATACATCAAAAGTCCAATCAGACGAAGTTTAATCGCTAGCGTACATATTCATGCCCCCGTGGATATGTATTTGGAACCACAGCTTGATCTCCAAACATCGTAAATGGCACATTTCAGGAGCTCCCGCCACAATGTTAGCGGCTTGGTTCGGATTAGCATACTAATACGGTGACCATCTTGACCCTTATTTATAGTATCAGTTCCCCTTTAATCAACTGCATGTATTTTGGTTAACACTGTCTGCTAACTGAATATTGCAACATTTCATGAATGGGTATTCCTATAATACTGTAAATTACTTTATTTTCGCTTGGAATTTATTTTCTATATTTTCGCTGAAGGGACAATTCAGTGAAAATAAAATCCAGCGAATAAAAAATTTTTCTTGTATTTTGCACTGAAATCATCAGGAATCAGTGAAAATAAATTCCATACAAAACACACAAAAAATCTTTTCAGCGAAAATTAATTCCAGCTAAAATAAAGTATTTTACAGTAGTACACCTAATGCATGTTTGAAATGAGGTAATGGGACATTACTACGGTAGATTAGTATTCTTTAAGATACATTTTATTTCATTTCATTGGAGCAAATTGACTCTTTCAATAGAGTCAAAATACACACAGTATGAAATGCTGCCCGTCCCTGACGCCTCAAGGGTCAATGGCAATATTGTGGAAAAACTGGTATCCTGCCTGGAGGTCTGTCTCATTTGAGCAACAGGGCTGTAGGTCCAGCAGGGTTATAGCAGGGGTGTAGGTCCAGCAGGGTTATAACAGGGGTGTAGGTCCAGCAGGGGGTGTAGGTCCAGCAGGGTTATAGCAGGGGTGTAGGTCCAGCAGGGGGTGTAGGTCCAGCAGGGTTATAGCAAGTGTGTAGGTCCAGCAGGGTTATAGCAGGGGTGTAGGTCCAGCAGGGGGTGTAGGTCCAGCAGGGTTATAGCAAGTGTGTAG